TTTCGCCTTCGATCCGGAAGGCTTCATCAGTCAAGGAAACACACAACAAAACTGATTCTTCTCCCATCAGCTTACTCCAAAGTGGAACAAACCAGTTCTGCTTGTGATAAGATGGTCTCTTTGGTATGCCCCTCCTCCATTGCCGGCCCTCTTTTTTGTTGACAGTCTTGTTGAAAACAACAAAGTCCATGCTCAATAATCCAGGTATACAATCCAACATTTTTCAGTCAGGTCATCTGGACAGTTTCTTTTTTTTTTGTGTGCTGAAACGTTTCGCCTTCGGTCCGGAAGGCTTCATCAGTCAAGGATGTTGTTGTTGTTTTCAACCAGTTTGACAAGACTGTCAACAAGGAAGAGGGCCGGCAATGGAGGAGGGGGCCAGTGTTGCCAGGTGTACGATAATTATCGTATTTGTGCGACAATTTTGCCCGCTGTACGATTTACGATCAATAATCCCAAAAAAGGCCAAATATACGATCATTTGATCATTCCGTGAATGTGTGGTTGTAATCAGTTGTCATCAGCCTCTCGCAACTGTCTGTCTGAGTTTTTTTGTGAACCCTGAAGGCATCTGTGTCTGCAAACAAAATGTTACCTACGAGTGACGTGTTTGCGTTTGCCTGAGAACAACGGCCGTGATTAGATGAATAGTCCGCTGCGCCCACCCCATGAGTGAGGAAAAGACAAAAAGAAAAGAAGAAGAAGCAGAGCCGGTCTGGAAGCAGACCCAACATTACTATAGTGCATTAATAGATTTATTTTGGTTATGACGGGTGTACGATAATTTCCCTCAAAATACGATAATTTTATGTCTCTAGTACGATAATCCTACATTTCACACCTGGCAACACTGGAGGGAGCGTACCAAAGAGACCATCTTATCACAAGCAGAACTGGTTTGTTCCACTTTGGAGTAATCAATCAACCTTTATTTATACAGGTAAATCCCATTGAGCCTCGAGGACTCATTTACAAGAGAGACCTGATTTCAACAAAGAAAGATGACAACAATGGACAACAGCAACAACAATAAGCAGTTATAAAAACTCATACTACTGTTTTTTTTTTTTTTTTTTTTTTTT